TCCTTAGGGAAATGCTTAGTTCGCCTTCACCATTCTGCAAATAAAACTGTTGGCCTGGGTCCATCCATAATGTTGTTGTTATTCAACCAGAGAGTAGAGAGTAGATCCAATCATCTAATGATGATCAGTCAGGCCTCGATATGTGTCAAACACAATACAAAGTTTTAAAGATACAAAGATGACTAGTGCAGGTCTATATGGAAAGTGCTATTCTAAGGATAGCACCTATGGGCTATTGGCTCCCTGATGATGGTGCAAACGGCTAAAGGGCAGCCCTGGGAATATAGCCGCAGCTGCTTCAACACAAGTTCAATCCCCATCCAGGCAGGTGCCCCAAATGGCACAGCAGACCTCTCTTGTCTCACCCTCTGCTCCTCTCAGCAGTGTACTTGGTCAATCTGCCTGTTCTGCTCCCCATCTGTCTCTGGTGAATCTTTTCACCATCCCTGCATCTCTAGCCTATACCATGATTATTGCTGCTTAGTTACAATAGGAAAGACATGGAAAGAACCCAAATGCCCAAAAGCAAATGACTGGATTAAAAAGATGTGGTACATATACACAGTGGAATATTGTGCAAATGTATATGTATGTGTATTTCAGCAATCAAAAAATAAATATACTCATGCCTTTTGCAGCAACATGGATGGAGTTGGAAAAGATCATGCTTAGTGAAATAAGCCAGAATGAAAAGGAAAAAATACCAGATGGTTTCATGCATAGCAGGAGTATAAAGGACCAGAGGGGAAATAATAATAATAATGAACAACTATATACCAGAGACATTTTACAGGGGTGGAGTGGGGAATAGAATCAAAAACGGTGGCGGGGGGGAGGGAAATGCACTGGACTATGGTGATGGCACACGGGTGATTTGGTGATGGGAAGTCCATGGGGATTACAGCTGAGATGGAAAGACACAAAATGATATAAAAATAAACTATTATATTATTTTTAAAAAAGGGGGGGTGAAGGAAATCAGAGGAAGCAGTGTTAACACTGAATCTTAAGGGATGAGATAGGAGGGATTTAGCAAGCAACAAGGCAGGGAAGAGCATGTCAGGCATATACTATATGACCAAATATTATCAGTAACAATCTAGTGGCATAGCTTCGTGAAAAAGAATAGAGTAATAAAAGACAAGACAAGGAATGCAGTGTTATAAATTATAATCTAAGCTATAATCAAGGGTCATTGACATGCCAAGGGTGGAAGCAATCTTTTTTCCTTGAGGCTTCAGTTCAAAGGAAGATTTAAGGAGGAGATGTTCTGGTTCTGGTTTTAAAGACAGAATTAAGTTGGTGGGTGAAGAAGGGAAATTAAGTTATTCTAGTTGAGATAACTACAAAAAGGCAGATAAGCTGAAAGTGCATGTCCACCTTCTCTCTTCTAATTATATTCTTACCCTGGAGATCTCATCCTGTTCTGGTTGCAGCAAATACCATTTTAAGTGGATGTAACTTGAATTTAGACCCCCAATACTAAATTCTCCCCAGAACCACCCATTTGTACCGGCAGATGTTTATTTGGAATCTCTACTTAGAAGTCTTATAGTTACATCAATTGTAAAATGCTTGAAACCTGTTTCTCTTCCATTTCAAAACCTTTTATTCTCCCAATCTCAGTTATTGTTGCTATCATCCACCTAGTTGTTAGAGCAAAACTAGAAATCATTCTTGATTCCTTTTCCTTTCAAACTGCATTTCTAATGCCTCAGTGATCACTCTGACAATACTTAAAAGCACATCTCAGAGCTGAACACTTCTCTCTATTTCCTGAGTCCAAGTGATCATTTGGCCTTATAATTCTATCTGGGCTCCTTGTTTCTTCTCTACTCCTCTACTACCCATCTCTGCTCAATAGCCAAAGCTGTCTTGTAAAAATGCAAGTTAGATAGAGTATGTCATTCCTTGCTTAAATCTCTTCAATATTATTTCCTCATTTCTTAAAGTAAATCCTGACCTAATCTAGTCCCCATCTAAATGACAATCTCATCTCTAGTCTTTTTTAATGTAGAAGAAATTACTCTTTTTGGATATTTTTTTGAGGTAACATAAATTTACATAGCTGTATAGTTTCCAAGATTGCATTTTGTTGTCGCATCTACCACCAAATATACATTCACCATTCAATGCCAACTAACCCAGCCATTCTACCCATTCTCTTCTCTGGGTAGACCCAACAAATCTTGCCTCCCCACTTTCTTTCTTGTGACCACCATGCTCTTGTCAGAGTCTAAAGGCCTGCTTTTATTTTTGTTTCTTTACATTCCATATTGAATAATAATAACATAGTATTTGTGCTTTTCCTTCTGATTTATTTCACTTAGCATAATGCCCTCAAGTTCCATCCATATTGTCACAAATGCCAAAATTTCATGGAATAGCATTCCATGAAATATATATATAGATACCAATTCTTCTTTTCTCATTTATCTCTCATTAGGAACTTCTGTTGTTTCTACATTTGGCTGCAATGAACATAGAGTTGTATATATTCTTTAAAATAGTTTTCATGTACTTTCGGTAAATACCCAGAAGTGAGATTATTGGATCACATGGTAGTAGTAACTTTTTAAAGAACCTTCAACTGCTTTCCATTGTGACTTTACCATCAGTATATGAATGTTCCTTCTTCATCAACCTTTATTATTTCTTCATTTTTTCATAATAGTTGTTCTAACTGCTATGAGGTGAAATCACATTGTGGTCTTGATTTGCCTTTCCCTAATGATGTAGAACATCTTTTTATGTGTCTGTTGGCCATCTGTAGATCTTCTTCAGTGAAATATTTGTCTAAATGCTCTGTCCATTTTTTAAATTGGATTGTGTGGGATTTTTGTTGTTGTTAAGTTATATGAGTTGTTTGTGTATTGGATATTAACTCCTTGTTTGATATAAAAATTTCAAATACAGTCTTCCACTCAGGAGTATTTTTGTTTTAACATAGTTTCTTGAGCTGCATAGAAGTTTTTTTTTTGTTTGATGTAGTCCCTTTGTTTATTCTCTACTTTGTTTCTCTTGTCATTGAAGATGAAAATCACAAAAATAAAGACTGATGTCAAAGAGGATTATACCTATTTTTTTTTCCTGTGCATCTTATGGTTTCAGGTTTTATACTAATGTCCATTTTAATATTTTTAATACTAATTCCATTTTCAGTTGATTAAATATGGAGTATAATGTAGTGTTCTAAAAAGACAAAACTAGCAGGCAATCTACAAATTGAATACATAGGGAGTGGGGAGGGAGAGGAGTCAAAACAGAGGAGGGAAGAATACAAGAGACTATTGTGATGGCTTATGAGCAATGTGGCAGTGGGATTACACCTGAGGGAAGAAGTCAAACATTGTATAAAAATGTTTCAGAGCAACTAGTAGTAAGTATAAGGAAGGAAGACTGAGAGGGAGTGAAAAAGTCGTACTTCACCAAAGGCTGAGGATATCAGAGTCAAACATGGAAACAGTTGGCTGTGAGATATGAAGTTTGAGCTGTAAAATACAGCTAGGACCTGCACCGCCCAGTGTACCAAATTGTGTCAGCGATTAGAGACTACCAGCAATCTGGGATTGGTTCATTTGTAGTCAAGGATTTGTCTACTTCAATATCACATAGAACTCTGAATAATAAATAGTTCTAGTCCTCTGAAAATAGCATATGAATACTTCTGGTTTTTTCCCTTCTGCCTCCATTTCCAGAGAGGGAAATAAAACTGTCCTGGGAAGAACAATGCTTTCACCTTTTATAAGGCCTACCAACCTCCCTCCCAAGCCAATGCAACAAGCAAACTTAGTGGTCTATTGGAACCAAGAAAAATGGTCTTTAATCCAATGTCTGTTCATTTTTAAAAATTAGTTTTGAAGCTTTATTTTCCCTAGTTCTGAAAAAATGTATAACCACTGAAAAATATAGAACACAGACAGTATATGGAATAAAATACTGTATAATCCCTAAAGGGAAATAATAGAGCCATGTTGATATTTCCATATCTGACACTAAGAGAAAACCCTGGCATTCATCAATTAGAACTCTGAAATATCCATTATCAGTGTTGTTTTTTTTTTTTTTCTTCATCTCTTTCCTTGGATCCCTTACCTTTGAGACTCATTGTATTCTTTCTAAGTTCAGAACTCAATCATCTCTGGAATGAGTCACCCAGTTATTCACTAAGCTTTGAATGGATGCTGCTGTGTGGCTGCTGGGGTTTTTTTGCAGGCCCTCAGGCTCAAGTGACTGGCCTTTGTCAAATAAACATTAACTTCAGCACCACATAGAACTCTGAATAATAAATATTTCTAGTCCCCAGAAAATAGCATGTGTATAATTCTGGATTTTTCCTTCTGCCTCCATTTCCAGAAAAAAGAAGTTAAGCTGGCCTAGTGAAAACAATGCTTTTACTTTTTATCGAGCTTGATAAATTTGCCCTTTGTTTTACCACACGAGTCAAAACTACTATATATCACAACTCTGCCATGTTTTTTCTTTTCCTCCTTCCTCCCGCCTATCTTCTACCACTTCCCCAGAAGCAGAAAGCTTTCAACATCCTGCTGTCCATTATCATAAATAAACTCATGCTTTTAAAGTAAATATAGGTTCAATGCTAATTTACTAAAGACTGCATTACCATAAGAAGTTAAAAATATTCTTGAGTAACAGGTAGATCATATACTTTAATGGCAATAACATGCTTTCTTTTTTTTTTTTTTTTGTGGTTCCCTGAAAGTCAATTATTTTAGCCACGCATTTAAAATCTTAGGTCTCAGCACAAGTTACATTTCTACTTCAGAAAGTGTTAAACCATGCAGGTCCTTAGGACTTGTACCTTTGTGTTTTATTTTTCTGTTGCCAATATAGTACAGACAGATCTAAAAACTAAAAAAGATGAAGTCACATTTAAATTGTATCTCTACTAGGTGAGTCAATAGAGAATACTATAGCTTTTCTCCTTGCTTATACATATCTTTTGCTAATTTAAATTTCATATAATGTTTATACACTAGATCAGAAAATACTGGGCTAAAAAAGAACAGAAGTGGCAAGAAATGGAAATGAGAGATCTTCAGCATCTAGAAGAACTGAAGAAATTCATGGCTGAGCAGTCAATAAAAGACAGAGAAAGGTAAAAGAAAAAAATTAAATTGTGTGGTAATGGAGGTGGTGTACAGAGTCCTCTACAACATATGAAGATAAATCATATCAGAGGAAGAATGTTACTATACTTATATATCATTATAATTTAATTTCACAAATGGATAAACTGACACATTTTAAACTCATATTCGTACATGAATTTCTAGTTTTCTGTTTTGTTTCTTAGATGGTTTCCTAGCTAAAACTCCCATAGAGGATTTCCCACTATTTGATTGCATATTTGTATATGAAATGATACTGGCTGTTTTGGGGACTTAATATTTTGTCTCAAAATGAAAACATTATTCAGGTAAGAAGGGAGACCCAGTTACTGTGACAGAACCTGGGAAGACAATACACAATTATGATGTGCTCTATGATTTTCATACTATATGGTTTGTTTCGGTGTCCCCTATGTGGTAAAAAATAAATTTCCTAGAATCATGTAAGTTGGATGGAACATTTGAGATCAACTAACCTGCCTGTCATTTTATGAATGAGTACACTGAGAAGCTAAAATTATTTTCTGAGGTTCTTTCAGTTTGAGTTAGTCAGATCATAGAAACTGCATAGTAATTTAGATAAAAACTTAAATTTAAGATTAAAAGATTATTACTCTAATACCCATTGCATGGGAGAGACATTCTGGGATGGGTCAACCAGTACTTTTTTTACAGTTGCTGGGCAAGTTGGAAACACCTTATTACCATGCAGGAAATGGAAACAGGAAGTCAATCATTAGGATATTTGCACAATACACAGGGAATCTAACCATAGGGGAATCTCTAAAATTGGATGGGAACTGATTTGGGGAGAGGCATTGGAACTCTGGGTAGAAACACCACTGTCTGTTCTCCACACATGCTGCTGGCAGCCATGTGGTAGCATCAGGAAGGGTTAAATATAGAACCATGAAGGAATGTTCTTTTATCATCAGTGACTCTTCAGCAACTTTTTCTGATATAGCTCAACACTGTCTGCTACAAGGGAAAAATAGTTAGAGGGTCTGGTTCTGTGTTCACAGAGGATACAATGAAGGGTGGATTTGGAGCTAAGGGGCTATAAGTTAGTAACTAGTCGTTCTTTAGTACCTTGGAAGATTTTCACAAAAGATAGGTTAAAGGTAGATACTTTCACTTTGCAACATAAGTCATGGTAAGTTTCCTTTACAGTTAGTCAATATAACACAATTGCCCAAACCTCTGTATATTCCACCAAATTTTATTCTGAATCTAACACCACTCTAAAATAAAGCTTATGTAATAAAAAGCTAATAGATTTAGACATAATTTTGGAAGACATAACCAGTTTATATAACAAGACTTACTTATAGCTAAACTTATAGCATGAACAAATCTGGAGTTCATTATAGGTGCTAGGTAATTAAGAATTTTCTAGTCGAAAGTCACATTATTTTCCGGGAATCTCAGAATTTAGGGTTGAACTATATTTATGAGAAAACCAAGATTGTAGCATAGTCAGAGTTCGAGGATAAGTTCTGACACAGCTAGTGAGAGACCAGTTAAACAAGCACAAACCAAGACATCTCTGAGTGAATACCATAAGACAGGACATGCTATGTGTAATGGACAAGACCTCACAAACACCTAAAGACTAAAGGGCTTTATATTAAATATATAATGGGTGGGGAAGGGCAAATATCTGGTTGGACATTCTGAATTATGCTGGTGAAACAAAGCAAACAGAGCCTCAGGAATTAAAGGACATTGGGAAAACAACAGATGTGAGGTTTTAGAATCTAGGAGATGTGCTTCTAATTTAATTTCTTCTTATAGCCAGGGAGTTTTCTTTGATTACAGAGGCATTTCAGTCTTCTGCTTCCTGTCCTATAATTATCAGAATTAGCTGATTCAGGACTCCAAATGAAAAGGAAAGGAAAATCAGATTAATCTGTATTACATAACAGGGGGAAAATAGCATATTGTAACATAGCAAAAAGAGTGTAAGGACTGGGAACCAGTAGATTAGGGTTTTAGTTTTCATTCTTCTTTGAATAGTATATGACTTGAGGAAACTCATTCATTTAACCTTTTCAAGGCTCTGTTTTGTCATGTGTGAAACTGAACTGGGTAACTTCTAGGAGCTCAGTGAGTCTATGGGTTTTTAAGGGTCTGTGATCTGTATGTTCAACTCTTAACTAAAATATTGTGAATTCAGATATTCATAAATTTAATGCTTTCATGTCAATGGAAAATCAGCAAAGGAAAATATTAAGATATAAGGTTATATAAAAAAAAGTAACCTTTAGAGGACTTTGGATGATATTGTTGGTTAAAGCATAGTCCTCATTCTGTGATTTAGGGGAATATAATTCAACAGGTAAACATTGCTGATAGCTTTTGCATTTGACACGAGTCAGGGTTGTGTTCTCTTATAACAATTCTGACACTGAGAATTTTGGTTTTTTAGGTAATATGTTTATCTCAACTACTGATATCCAATTCACAAATCTCAAGTTTGGTATTTTAACTATAGGCACATTTTTTCTTATGTCAGGATAAGAAAACTTGAAATAGTTTCCAGATTTGTTACGCACACACATACAGCTTCAAAGCTTTGAAAATTCATTTACTTCCCTTTTCTATTTTTTTATTCTAAGGTTTGCTTTCTTAAAAACAATATTCCTAAATAAGAAGATATATACACAGTGGAATACTACTTAGTGATCAAAAAAGATAAACTCATGTCATTTACAGCAATAAGGATGGAGATGGAAAGATTGATGCTAAGCAAAATAAGTAAGAAGGAAAGAGATAAATATTGGATTTTTCCCTTATATGTGGCATATAGAAAAACAAAGCAAATGGTCAGAACGAGACAAATTTTGAAAGCTGACCATAGATATGAAGCATCCATGAGATAAGTGGGAAGGGAAAAAGAAGGAAAAAGTTAAAATGGAGAGTTGAAACGAGCAGAAGGGAATATGGGCCCATGGATGCTTTGATGGTGAGAGAATTATGGTGACCACATCTGAGGTGATAAATCATATATTGTCCAAAAATGAAATAATATATGAGAAACTCCTATTGATTTTTCTGCTTATACTGATGGTTTGTTAAGGAGAACTGGCATATATAGCACATTTAATCTCCAGTCTAAGAACATGCTTCCAGAATAGTTCTCCATTTATTGTTTTCTCATGGGTTCTTCAGATAATTTTATTTCTTTTACAGGAAATTACTTTAATGAGTAGCACTTGTTGACCAAGAAATCAATGCATAAGTTTTCTTCAGTAGCTATGTGAGAAAAAGTGTCTGGACTAGAAAGTAAATATGAAAATGTGCAGAGATGCCACAAAAATTGACAGATTTTTTAACTTAGATTAGGTAAAACATGCTAACCCATTTCACTGAGGACAGAGTTCAAGGGAAGGCAGACATGGCCCAGAATATTGTTGAGGTTTTTTTAATTATTATTATCTAATTGAACCTCTATTTTCTAATACATTCATTTAGCTGTAAGGTCCCCCACGCCCCTATGCTCACACTTTACATTGTTTGAAAATGCATTTTTATGGTATAGTTTCTGAATAGTTTTTATTGCATTGTTTATCCTAACAATAAATTTTTAAATACTAGGTGTTTGTCATAGGCAAGGTTGCTGGAAAATTTCAATTTCTTCTACTTTTTTACCTTTCATGTTTACTTTTCATAAAAGTCAACAAAAATTCAACATATTTACAAGAAGGTGCAAATGCTGCTACTTTTAACCTTTAAAACAATCTGCCTCATTAAACACCCCTGTTAGAAGAATAAAGTTCAGTGATTTTTTAGTAAATTTATTTAGTTATATAACTTAGGTTAGGTAAAACATGCTGACTATAATTTAGTTATATAACTAAATAAATTTATTTAAAAAATCATAGTTCAATTTTATATCATTTTCATCACTTCCAAAATATGTTTCATGCTCAAATGATAATCTAATTCTGTCTCTATAGACTTACCTTTTACTGAATACTTTATACAAATATAATACATAATATAGTTTTTGAGGTTTAGCCATCCTGGGGCACACATTTTTAGCTAGTTCCTTTTCACTGCTGAATAATATTCCATGCCAAACTATATTATAAATCAGTTTTGCAGAGCAATATAATTTTTTTGTTGTATGTAGGATAATATTTTAAAAGGAGGATTCAAAATTTATATTGACAATAATATGAACAAGCTATAATAGAATAATGACTACTCTAAGCATCTTTATGCATCCCCCATCCATCTAGGGGGAAGCTTTTCAGTGGAAAGTATCTCATCCTCTTTCATTACAAAATGGTCTCATTTGGATTATCATTGTCTCTTTTGAGGTTAATGTACAAACTCCAGTTAATACTAGAGGTCAGGCAAGCTCTTTCAACAGAAAAGTGGGACAACAATTTCTGATTCCTATCAAGGTCCTTACTACCCTTTGTGATTCTCCTTGGTCTTTCACTTCTGAGGTCTGCCTAGTATTATCCAATAAGAATGTTATGTGAGTCACATATGTAATTTGAATTTTTTAATAGGCATTTGTAAAGATATAAAAAGTGACAGAATTGACCTTTAATGATAAATTTTACTTAACTCTGTATCTCCAGAAGCATTATCATTTCAATGTCCCTAGCATAAGAATTATTAATATTTTACGTACTTTTTAAAAACTAAGGCTTTGAAATTTCTTGTGTAATTTATACACTCTGAACAATTTGAAGTAGGCATCCTTCACATGCAGAAATAACCACATGTGATTAATGGATACCATATTAGCCTACAGAGGGTTACAGCAAAGCATAATGACCTCCTACTAATAAAGGACTGAGAACTATTCTTTAAACAGTTCTATTTGAATTGATATCTTTTATGTAACATTTGAACACTTCTTATTTTACCTGCCTGCCTGTTTTACTACCATTACTAGTATGTCCTTGATATCACTTGCCTCTGTGAATGTGTCTTGTTTTTTAGGCAATCCACTGGTAACTTAACTGAA